ATTTAATTAGAAACATGCAATAAAAATGATGAAGAAGATGGAAGCTAATTATTAAAAATTATATTTAAGTTAAAATACAATTTAAAAATAAGTTACAGATAATAAAACAATCATAAAATAGATAAAAAAAAAAAGGATCGATTTGTTTTAAAATTCGACTGTTGAAAATGTCTATAGCGACTTTTCATGTCAGTTCTGTAGAATCTTTTCTCTTCAGTGAATCTAAATCTCCTGGATGAATGAAATTTTATAAATTTAGAATATTATATTTTAAATAAAACATTTAAATAAATTAATTTAAAAGTATTATTAGACCAGAAATTATTAATTTTCGAATAACAATACTACATCCCACGTGATAAGACAACACCATGAAAATTTTATAGAGTTATTGCTGTTTAAAGTGCAATTTTAAGCCACAAGTAATAATAATATTCGCAGTAAAATTATATTATTATGATTAACAATAATATATTTAATATATAAAATGTATAATAACCAGTACGTTCGTAAATTTATATTATTAATAAACGTCGATGAAAGCCTAACTTTAATATAAGATGATAGATTTTATATTATTAAATAATTTATATATTTAATAAAAATTATGTTTAAAAATTGAATTTTTTTATGCTAAAACACTTCAAAATCTTGCCTTCTTTTTTAGTTTTTTCTGGTATATTTTGTCTATAAAAGCGTAAAATTCAATAGGTAATTGTGTAAGGCTGTCTGAAGTATTTGTTCTTTTGTATGTGCTAATTCAGCAAATATAAAACTAACGACACGTGAAGAATAATTGCAAAGTTAAGGAAAAAATAATTCAATGTGTTTAAGTTTCAACTGTAAAAATATTTAAATATATATTTTTTTAAATGTAGAAGAATACCTCAATGAAGAAAAAGCATTAAAATTGCACTCTGAAAACTCGTGTTTATTTTACTTAAAATGCATTAAAATAATGGAAGAGGAAGTAAATTTTAAAACTTAATTTTCCGTTTTTTTTTTTATATATAAGAATAGACATTTTTTAAAAGTAAAATTTCATGAAAAATTAAAGATACTTTAACAACGTTCAATGTGAAAAAAATACAATAAAATGGAAAATTTATAGTCGCGTGTTGAAAAAAATGTTCTTCAAGTAACTTTAATTAGAAAAATTAAGGAAAAAGTTTGATTTATTTTCATATAAATTGGCTTAGATTGTCGTAAATATTCCCAAAATATGCATTTTTTTGCCTAATAAAAACCTTTAAATGAAGTCTTTAAATGAAGTTGTGGGTTCGTTCCCATTTTAAATTACTTAATTAATGTGATAGAAAATACATTTCTTATCGAAATTACACTACTTATTTAAAATTAAACAAGTGGATAATCTTATACCCCTACCAAAGAAGGATATCAAAGGATATACAAGGATGTTTTCTCATAAATAACATGTTAAAATAAAACAATAAAGAGTCAAGTTTACTAGAAACAAAGATTGAATTAGATAGAAAATTATTCAATTAAAACTGATTTTACAATTCAAAATATATAAAATAATACCAGTTTAGTGTTATCTTAAACTATAAAATTTTCATATTAAGTTAAACAGTGTTTAATTAATTATCACTGCTTCTAGTTTGGGTATCCTTGGGGGTATAATCTGTAATGAGAGGACGGTGATAATCCTCACACCAAAACTTCTCCACTAATTTATTAATTGTATATCCTATATTTAATTATTGTTTAAATTATGCCGAGAAACAAACATGCAGACGAGAGAATAAAAATATTTTTCACTTTTAAAATAAACTTTAGAAAATAATTAACAAATTTGCCTCCTTTCCTCTTTAAATTTCGAAGTAAAAATCAATTAATTTGACTTAAAATGTAAACAACTTCTATAATTTTAAATAGAAAAAAGTTCAATAAATAACATAATTTATTAATTAGTTACTTGAAAAATGAGAACAGAACTTAAGTCTTTATATAAAGACGTTGGTTCAGTTCTTATTAAGTATAAAATACACTTATAGATCATATTTTGTGAATATTTTTAATGCTTCCATGCGAATTTATCAAACTTTTTTTCCAAAATTCCTCTAATTAGAGTTAATTGAAGAACATTTTGTCTCATCCGCCACTATAAATTTCCCATTTTATTGTATTTTTTGCACGTTTAACGTGCATTAAAAGTTGTTAAAAGTTATTTATCTATGTTTCCTACACGTTATTTTTTTTCTATTTATTTTTCTATACTTGTAAGGAATATCCAAGGCTTTCCTTAATCCCTTGGGATGTTTACAGTAGACAGATCAATGGATATCATTGATAGAAAATGGCTTATTTGCCGGAACTTTAAGGGGAAATAAAAGAAAAAAATGTGTTTTTTTAAAATGATTTTCCCAACGTAAATTACCTAAAGAAATTTTCATTATGGCTATTCTTAAATGTAAAGTCAGTAATTCAATATTTCACTTTGAAGTATTGATCAGGAGCAAAGGTGATTATTTAACTTTCGTTTTCTCATTTTACACTCATTAATATCAAGAACGAAGGTTAGAAAGTCGTTCTACACTCGATAATCACAGATATTAAGCCTTAAATATTGATAAAATTCAGCAACAAATATTGATTTTATGGAAAAATATAAAGTCTATTAACTTATTTTTGCATCACACATTCATCTAACTTTCACAGCAAAAAAAAGGGTTAAAATTTGCGAGATTTTACTTTAAAACTTTTCATGTTATTAATGACTATAAATAAAATTAAGTGTAGAAATGAGTTTTAAAAAATTACAAGTGCTAATAACGAATAAAATCTTCATTAAGTCTGATCCTCTGTACTCTTCTGTATCTTCTCACCTACTTGACCTTTAACCTCCAAAATTTAAAAGCACCGACCTCTCTAATATACAAAACTTCTTGCAAAATTTCATAAGTGTTCGGGGAAAAGAACAGGAGTTATTAAGCTTTAAAATGGGCGAACAGAATCGTATCCTTCGCACATATAAGAGACGTTCGTGTACATCCCTCATTCGTGTATGTGTACATCCCGCTTAACCCTCTAATTTTTTGCATTTCTGGACGTTTGAAGATTCCCCGAGTGCAAAAATATAAATTTTTTGTGGGTCATTTCTTGACCTATCGCCATACTTTCCCTGTGTTATATATAACAGGAAGGAAAGTAAAAATGGAGGAGTTTCGAAATAGTTTGAAAACATTCCTCACCTTTCTTGACTTCATCACTCAACTTTGATATATTAACGTTCATAAATGAGACGACATATATAATTAACATCCAAATTTATCTTTCTTTCCTTCTTTATTTTAAGTTGAACGAACCGGTGTCAAGATCAGTTATAACTCAAAATATTTCGTATATAATTAAAGAAAACTTATTCTAGATAATATCTAGAATAGTTTTATCATTAGATTTTTATAGAAAATTATTAATAACTTAAGGTTATTGAGAATAAATTGCGTGATGTAAAGTGATGCCTGTGTATGTCACATCCATAGGCACCTTTCAACTGCCTTTAAGTGTATTTGACATGAAAGAACAAATGTAAATGACACGAATAAAGGGAATTTGGATGTTGTGGACATAATATAATTCATAATATGGATGAATAAACGGTATTTTTTATGCATTTTCTTAATAAAAAATATATAAATTTATCCATTAAAAACTGTATAAGCGAATTCTTATACGGTTGTAATTTTTAAAATATTTACTTTTAATCGATAAAATTAAAAGCTTTTAATGCAGAAATGTAATTAGAAAAAGATTATTTACTTTTAAATTTAAAAAATGAATTTAAAATATTATTACTTCGATACCCCTACCAAAGANCAGCCCGGCACACGTATTTGTAAAATCTAAGTGACTCGTACAACACGGAATTCATATAAAACGGAAAAATCAACAGTGTTATAGGGGGGGGTCGACTATACCTGCGTTTAAAGTGATACCTCTCAACAACGGCAACTGGACGTTGTTTGAAGGTTAATTAAGGCCTCTACTTTCGAGGCCTTAATCAAGAGTGTAATACAAGACCTTTTTATTTAAATTTATATAATATAAACCTTGTATTCAACGACCAATCGTAATCGATCCTCTGTGTGATGTTGTCTTTCAAATTTACGTGTTCTCGATAAAGCGTATTCTCAAAATAAAAAAAAACACACAAACTTCAGCGCCAAAATTGCCCTAGTGGTGAATTTTATCACTAATTTGTTTACCGAAATGTCACTGTACCAGATTTTGTTGCTGTGTGACTATCAAATGTCCTTTCTCAACAGCATTATACAGTGGTATTTTAATTACAATTCCCTTTAAATAAATATTTATACGTAAATTTATTTATTAAATTTTTAAATTCTAATAAAATAAATTTATTTACAGTAAAACAATTTAATATATTTTTAAAAATAATCGAAAAATTTACATATTTATTTTCTTTTTTTGTTTTTTGTTCTGTTTCGTTCTAAAATTCTAATTTTAATAAAAACGAATTTATTTATTTATTTATTGAATTTAGATCTGTCCTGAATATTTATTATTATAAATTCTACATGAGATTTATATCGAATAATAATTTTATATGTGGATTTTTCTGCTGCATCAACATTTTTTTTTCTTTCGAAAAGAATTGACAGAGAAAGAATGTAAAAAGAGATAGAAATGGCTTATTTGTAGAAAAAATACATTACTTTTTTTACTTAGAATTTAAGATATTATAATGTTTTTTTTTTAATATAATTAAATACGTATTAAATATACAGGTTGTCCCGTAAGTCTGGAAGCAGTTAATCTTTCTTTATTCTTTTACGGATCCCGCATCATTCATCCTCATCCTCATCCTCATCCTGACTTTCCTAAATGATTAATTGAATTTATTAGGAAATTATAGTAAAATAATCAAATAAAAATTAGTATTTATTTTAAAATATATGCAAATTTTTAAAATAAAATTACTTCTTTATCCTTAAAAATTGCATCTTATTATTAATTGTTAAACGATTATTGTTACACTTTTTTTAATTGTTCATCTTATGTAAATTTATAATGGGAAATTATTTTAATACGATTATAACTAATAAAGAAGATAAACCTGTTAAGTGAGTACAGGCTGAAATGTTAGATTATCTTATTCTGTGAGTAGTAAGATGGCCTTTTATCCATACCTATCGTGGGTTCTACTAGGTCTACAGTTGGGTATCCAGTTGATGAAAGATGTGGCTTGACAAATCCGGGATTGGATTGGATAAATATAAAGTGATGAAGAGGAGTTTCTATGAGAGGTTATCCCTATTTAGGGATAACCTCTCATAGAAACTCCTCTTCATCACTTTATATTTATCCAGACTTTGCTGATAGTCGTAGAAAATTAAGAATTATCTTTAATATAAATTCCTTTTGTATGCATTTTATGAGTTCTGTGTCCTTTGTTGTTGATTGTTTTATTAACTTATCGATTAAATGTTAATGTTAAAATAGAGAATTAATCATTTACTTCACGTGCATTATCTTATAGAAAGATAAGTAATTTAGCTAGGAGTGTAGTTAGCTACATGATACAGAAATTTGGTATTAATTTAAGGTATATTCTAAATGATATTGACCTTTTTTATAGAATAAAAAATGACTCCAGAAAGAAGAAACACACAGAGAATTTAGGAAATTCGGTTTATTTTGATGCCAATATAAAACTGGAAAAACAGGTTAGTTTAAATTTTCTGAACAATTTTTCAGGGACATTAAAAAAAATACAATATAACCTTTAAACAGTAGCTACCCTCATAGAAGGCCATTTATTTTGTTCTGTTTAGTGGCCGTTCTTTAGAAATTTGACAGTATTTATAGACATTACCTTCTTGGTCTTTTTTCTCACCCTCTTACTCTCTTCCTTTCTCCACTGTTCTCTTCAGTGTCAGTTATTTACAAATTTGTCAATATTTAATTACTTTAAAGACCTTCTCTCTTTTTCTGTTCAGAATAAGAGAGAATAGATTCAGAATAGACCCTTTTAGTAGACTCAACCGTCTAATAATAATATAAAATTTTGAACGAATTTTTTTTCCAGAGAAAATGCAGAAAGGATGAGGAACCTCGCAAAATTTTCGAAAAGTGGGATAAACTGAAGCTGAAATTAAGCCCATCATCCACATTGTATCACAATAGAATAATTAATGATTCGTACAGTTTACCAGTACTTAAACGTAAACCGAAAATCTGCGCTTTAACAGTCAAGAATTTGGAAATTTGGGATGAAATATGCGGGCAAAAAATGAACATGTTAGAAAAATACTTTTATGAAATTAATAAATGCGAAAGAGACGATATTGAAGAACTTGATGAAGAACAGGAAGATGACAATGAAGTATTTAAAACTGGAGATGATGTTTTTGCTAAATTGAATATAGTGAGTCATTTTGTAATGTGTTTAAAATAGAATGTAAGAATGTCTGTCTGTTCTCTATACGCTTCTTAACTCTAACCGATCTGTACCAAATTTCTTATTTAAACGTTCGGTTGAAGCGAATGAAATTCACTTCAATTAAACGTTCTTCTTACAGCACGTCTGTGTTGTAATGTAATGCACACACAGTGATTATAATTAAAGAGCTACTCAGCTTATCTGAAACAACAGATAGTCCTTTTACGGTGGTTATGATATATTACATGCAGTGCCAATTTCGCCCTAGCGGCTAAATTTTCAGGCTATATTTTTATATCAAATCGCCCATTATCCTATAGTTTAACGACGTTGCATCACGTGAATTTATTGTGTTGTAATTTTATACATTCCCATCGTCTGTCAGGCTGTCGTCAGAACGGTGTTAGATACATGAAAATCGAGGCTAAATATGAAAAGATTAAGGGCCTGTGACCTTAAAATTCCGGTTTTAACCGGAATTCACGTGATTTCAATTAAAAATTTCTCTAGATAACAGAGTGAGATAGCCGGCATGTCACCAGGAGAAGTGTGATTTACAGGGGCAAGACAATACTAAAATGTCAACAAGATTATAGAAATTGCAGCTTTACTCGTTAAATAATTTAAAATATATTTTAAAAAGTTTATTACAATAGAAATTATCACAAAAAAATCACATAAGATGTTTATTTAACAGTTTTATTGATTGAATTCTGGAAAGGAGATGATTTCCTTATTATATTTTTTTATTTTAAAGTGGAAATATATCTTTAATAATTTATTTTATGTAAACTTTTCCGAGTTTATAATCTTTCTTAACTTCTAAATTATTTAATATTTAAACATATTTTTATGAAAATATAAAGAAAAATAAATTAAGTCTATATTTATTTTCGAAACCATCGGAATTCAGTTAATAATAATATAAAAGAAATTATTTAAAAAATTGTTATTATTTGAAGTTTTTATGTTTATAATATAACGCTTGAAGTGGAATTATATTTAATGGAAGTGAATAAAATTGAATAAAAGAGAAATTTATTGAAGTGAAAGATCCGTCGGATGAGATATTCAATTCTATCAAATATATATATAAATGTGCTTGAAATTGTTTTGCATAATTCTTTAGTTGAGAAGCGTAACAAGGAAAAAAAAAGTATTTTTGGAAAATAAATTTATTTGACATCTGTCAATTTATAACAGAAATATACAGGAACTGATTTTGTTTCGTATTTAATTATTCATAACTCATATCTCTTCGTAATATATTATTCATTGCTGAAGCTAGGAAATCCTGGGGAATAAAAGTCATATAAATTATAACATACCGCCATGTACCGACTGGCACATGGAGTTTTCCGTATCTTATCCACGTTTATAACCCCTAAATAAGTGGTCATTTTTCCATAGAATGTCCTCCTGGAAGACATCCCTTGACCTATTTAAGTGGTTGTCGTATACTTCCGGTCCAGATCAGGCTTTCGTACAGTCGACCCCCCCCCTATAACACTGTTGATAATTCCGTTTTATAAGAATTCCATGTTGTACGAGTCACTTAGATTTTACAAATACCTGAGCCATTTACAGACTGGCACACGTATTTGAAAAATATAAGTGACTCGTACAACATGGAATTCTTATAAAACGGAATTATCAACAGTGTTATGGGGGGTCGACTGGTATATAGTTAATTCAGGCTTTCAACTCATAAGCTTAGTTAGATAAAAATCGAGAGATTAAGAAAGATTGGACGGACAGACGGATAATTGCGTGAATCTATAGTCTAATTATATCTTAATAAATGTATAAATTTGAAAAAAGTTTATTGTTATAAATAGTCTTGTTTATGATATTTAATGTAAGAACCTTTGTTTTCTCAAATGCCAAGCGGATTCTCGCTAATCCGGCAATCCCTTGATCATGGTGATGCCGGTAAAGCTTAAAGGCAATAGATGACGTGACCTGGGCTGTCTAGGATACGTCACACGTGTAATATTCTGGAAAAGGAAGAGTACAGGCGATCACACAGTGATAATCGAGGAGCCGGATTAGCGAAATTCTACTGCAATTTACAGATTTACTTTGTTAAAATTCATTTATTCTTTGTGTTCTTGTTTAAGTTTAATTAAATACGTTGTCCTTCAATAATAAATCTTAAAAATTACTTCTATTTTTTATATATATTTTTTATTTTCTTTATTTTTTAATGTATCTTTCGAAGAATATAATAAGTAAATAAGAAAATAAAACGTTATTGTCATCGTAAGATCATTTTTTATTTTTTATTTGTCAACATTGTCGGCGTGTTCTTTTCTGATAATCTGTAGACGAGTATTGTGGATCGATAACGTTACGGACAATTTTACACACATTTTCCTTATATAAAAGAACGTTTTAAGAGAAATTTCAGGACAATTTATATATTTTATTACAGTATTTTATAAGGAAACAAATTAACACTTGGCATAACAATCCTTTTGAATAAGTAAGCTTTGATACTTGGCATTAGATAAATTACTTTATGTTAGTCTCAATTCTTCACGTTGAATAATTAAGTTTCTATACTTGGCGTTGGTATAATCTCTCCAATAATTATGACAGTTAGAATAGTGATATTTCTTTAATTTTAAGTTCTTTAATCCGGCACCTGGTAATAAGGAATGTCCGGTTATCCGTCATGTCGTGAAAAGTAGGAATAATATGGCATTTTCGATAATCCGGCATTATTCTGCTTTTATACATTAACCAAGTATTACTTAATTGAAGTATTATTATATATTTAAAGTATTAATACATTGTAATAATTAAAATTGTATTTTATTTCATCTTTTAGCCTATTTCTGAATTCCCCTTTTAAACAATTGCGTGAGTTGCTGACAAGTTAATAATGTTACTTCCCGTTTCACGTGAAAGAAATTGAAGAAGAAACTATAAAAACAATGGTTTTAATATCAATAAAGTTGCAAAATTTTGATAAATAAAGCTTTCAACAGCTCTTCACTTGTGGATTATACTAAAGTGTGTCGTTCTTTACAAGATATAGTCAAAAAAAACATCCAAAAAGGGAAACCACTAAACAGTGGCCAGTTTTAGGACTGTTTCTATCTGAATTGAATACCAAACGTGCTATTATTTAAATTGAGAGCATTGTCATATCGTCACAATGCTCGCAATTTTAGTAGTGTCTTGTGCCTGTACATCATACTTTTCCTGTTAACAACAGAGTGGTGCCAGATATCTATCATATAGTTAATAGGGGCCTCCTACCCGTAAAATTTCTATATCCTGTCTTGATTTTCATCTATTTAATACTGTTTCAAAATTAAACAAGGACGGGTCTACAAGTTTTTAAAATTGCGACCTAATAACCTTTTAACAAAGGCCACCTCTGAACAACAACCAATTTTTGAAATACAGTATTTATATCAGTGTCCGTTATTTACAGGTTAGAGATCTTAGAAATGTAAGGACAGTTGGGGTTATTTTCTGTATGCACAGTTGTTAGAGTATATGTGTGTGTGTGTGTGTTTGTACGAGGGACACGATTCACTTCAACCAATTTGTAGCTTAACTCCTGTTCTTTTTTTCGAAAATTTCTGAAATTTTGTGTGAAGGTTTATGTGTTAGGGAAATTCACGCTGTTAAATTTTAGAGGTTAAAGGTCAAGTGGATAAGGCGATAGAGTGAGTCGTGTGTTGCATCGCGAGTGGGGTCAAACTTAATTAAGATTTTATCACATTTTTATCATTTACAATTTTGTATAAGACTCGTCTCTACCCTCAATATTAATCTTTCTACCATTTTATAATAATTATTAATATAAAAAAAATTTTTTGAAAATTTTATAACAGATGGCGCCACGCACAATTTTAACCGTATTTACCGGATAAGTTATGCAACTCTACAGGATATTTTAAGAATGAAATTTATCGATTTTTTTCTCCTGCGCTTTTATTAATTCATACTTAATTTTAAATTGAAATTTTATTTTTATGCTTATTATTATTAATTAATTAAGCAAGCATTAATGTAATAAAGATGAAAATAATTATCTTCTTTAGATGAGGATCCTCGCCCATAAAATTAATCCCTCTTCATCATTCTTAATACAATTAAATGGAAATTTTTGAAATACGTCCTTAAAACAATTTCAGATATTTTAATTAATTTTTTTAATAATAATTTCCTTCTGATTTTTCTCTTTTACTTCATTCATTTCACTATTTTCCTGTTAAGTTTCATCAGATTTTCTTAAGAATATTTTCTTTTATTTCCTTGTTATTTTTTTTAATTATAAAAAAGAAACTTTAAAGGATTTAATTGTATTATTAATTTAATTAAATTTACTTTCATAAATATATAATTTTTAAAACTAAGAGAGATTATCAAAAGCAGCAACT